TTTATTGTCCCGAAGCAGTGGCTGGCTGGGTTATAGTAACACTGGGACGGATACGAAAGCTTTTTTAAAGCCTACTCGTAAAAAATAAATAAGTTTTATAAGACATTAAAAATCTTTTTACAAATTTTATTTGTTATTGATGCTGTAGCGACAAAGTAGGATTAGGTTAATTATTTAGAAATTAGTCTTCGCGTTCGAGTTTCATGCATGAAAAATGAACATAAGGCGCACCCGCGCCTCTAATAGAATTTGCCCATTACCCGCCGCGACGGTTTACAGGAGTAACAACATTATTGTCAGCGAGAGAGCATACGGGATACTTTTTGGAGCGTTCAAGTAGCAAAAATTAAGTTACCATTGAATAACTGGGCAAAATCCTACGACTGTGCCATATTATTGTACTAAATGAAAACAACATGATCTAAAACTCAAAACGCAAAGCAAGTCTATTTTACTGTGAAATATCGACAACACAGCTTATACAATTCTTCTTCTTCGTAGCTACACTCTTGCCAGAGTGGTCGTGGTCGTCACAAACCCGGTCCGGTGTACACAATACAGCCTAGTTTTACACAGCATACTCTTACGTATGTTTACGTGTATTTTTTATGATTGCATGTGCTGTCACTTTATTAGATTGGAGTTTTTATGCATCCACAGTTTTACAGTGCATATTCTGAAACTTTTTCAGTGCACACATGCTTCAGCTATTTCATGGAGAACAATATTTATTGAGTTTTCCAGATTCATTTAAGAAAAAGATCATCCCATTTTGCATCTCATGTAATGGTAAGATTGCTACGTGACATATCAATGTAGGCTCCCACAAACACAACTAGCTATAAAAAGAAGTGGTAGCACATAATTTATCTACGTTTCCACACAATAAGCGCGAGTATTTCCTATTTTTCTCAAATGTCAGTGAATATCAAGGCCGGACTTGGCGCCCAACGTGGGGCGGCATTTTTGGCCGCGAAGGAAAGGCCACTGCAAAAAAGCTAGCTTTGTACGGAGCATCACTGTCGTGCCGAGTGGTACACTATTAACATTTAGATAAGGTTATAAAAACAACAAGAAACTTCTTTTTACTACTGTCTCTGTTCTAAGCTTGTCGTCTTACAATCTCGGGTCATCTGTTTTGCAAAGTTAGTGTTGTTGATTATATGTTTGAGTTACTAAATTGTTATTTCGTATAAACCAAAAGATATTATCTATTTATGAGGAGGAGACGTAACGTCATCTAATCCTACTTTTAATATAGGTAAGTACTCGACATGTCTTACACACCGTTTTAAGATATTAAGTTTCGCGCGATGTAAGCCTCGGGAACAATGGGTGCTTTGTTACTACCTGCTGCCATATACAGAAGACACCCTGTGCTATACACATCAAGAAAGATAAGCCAGTTTACTTGGAGGAAGCGGAATTATCTGCGATAAATCTACTAGTTCAGACTAAAAGCGCGGCCAGGTGAAGGAGTAAAGGAAAAGGTCATCATAATGTTTGTTATAAATGCAGCCTTGTAAAGCATGACAAGAGGAAAACGGGTAATTTGTTCATTTTAATCACGGGGAGAAGGAACAAGTAATAGGTGATATCAAAAATATCGACTGGAAGTACCAGTTGACCAAAATTATACCTAGGTCAGGGACGGTTAAATGTTCAATGCAACGACCCGGATATATTTTAAATCCTGTTATAGTGACAATGTAACGACCCGGATGTTCTAATTCAGCTATGAAAGAGGAAACTCACGGCTCCCAATTGCAAGCCAGGAGCTAACTGCTGGCATATTTATGCTCCCAGCACAGTATCAACGCGGCTGGAGCGCCAGGCGCTTGGCTAATTTCGGTAATTTACGCACCCTCCTAGTTTCGTTTGCAGCAAGTTTCACAGTTACTCAAGCGGAAATTCATAACCCGACTTACTGGAGTCCCAAGAAGTTTCACTTTTAGCCGACTTTCATGACTCACTTGGCTTATCACAGGTGTACAGTTTTGCTACACGTGTCTTTGGCAAATATGATAGGGAAAAGCCTCTTTTCGCTATTCCTATTTGACGAAAATTTTTCATGTTAAAGTTTACAGACTTGATTTGTAGAGATGCAATACAAGTCAATTAAACGATAACACTGCACAACAGCATTTCTGATGATTGGGTTATGTTACATGATATTTGTCCAATTTTTAATGACGATTTCAAATCTGTGATTGAAATATCTGTATCAGCTCTGGTTAAAAAAATATGACACTTGGGTCTTTTTGTAAAAAAACACTCTTTTTTAGAGATGATCCTATTTTATGAAGTTGTTAAGTTGAAAAAACTTTCTTTTATTTGATTTCCTTGCTGATGCTGAAGGCAGACAGCTCTTCTGAATGATTCAACAGCAGTCAGCCATCATGTGTGCATTCCAGTGGCCCTGATAGCGTCCCTCTACCGTACGAAGGCCCTGGTGGATTTGCTCGCCATGTTCTTCACTTAGATCCTTAAGAGTTGTGATAAAATTGTTCAGGTGATTGCGAAGAGAGTGTAATTCGATGTTTATATTACATCCAACCAAAAAAACATGTTTGTAAGTGACTCATACGTTTTTCGATGTGTAAGAATTGAAAGATTTTTTCGGATTTTCCAAAAAAAAAATTAAAATGCCAAAATAACTCATTCCATGTCTTTTCGGAAGACTTGAAGATCCTAAATCTCTAAAACGATCGTTTAAACCATCTTGGCTACATGGTTTTGAAAATTTCGGGTCACATTCAAAGTCTCTACCACACTTTTCAATCTTCGAATCGGTAGGTAACCCCAAAATCCTGGGGGGTACCAGGGGGTACCTTAGGTAGGACTTATGACGGGGGGGGGGGGGTGATCGCCCCGGGTGCCAACACTGCCAACCCATGCTACGCCGCCACTGAGTGCGGCCGGCTGGCGGCTGGGGCGGCACGGGCCACGGACGCACGATAATATTATGCCAAGTCCTTATTGCGTTGGGAAAGAGCCTGTGGAGGCTATCTAGTTTATGTGGTCATTCTTGTGCAATCAAAGCCCAAGAAGTTAAACTTTTAAATTTTTATAACTAAGTGTAGTAGGTGGCTCTTCACCTGTAAGGACGGGCGATTCACTAATTATGGAACTGACTAATTTCTAAAAAAAGTTATAAGTTTTAATGCCGATTTGTAGGTTTTGTTGTCACAAACAAAGCAGAGCAAGATAAGGTACTTTTCCGTCTTGATCTTGGCGCATATTTTGAGACTACAGAGATCAGCGTTGCCAGTTTTTTTCCGCCAAGTCGGGACTTTGGTACTTTTTGAGTGAAAATAGCGGGATTCTTCCGTCAGAAGCGGGACATAGTAAAAAAACGTATACAATCAAAGGTTTTCAAATATTTATCTTTTTATTTGACTTAAAATTACGTTTACGTGACAATAGATAGCAAAAGTAGCCATAGAAAATGTATTTTAACATGGCGTTTCAAACAATAGTCTGGTGAAGTGAGTGTCTCTCTCCGAAAAGCGGGACCGAGCCTGTCCCGCGCGGGACATATAAATTTGATTTAAAAATCGGGACGTCCCGCCAAAATCGGGACGTCTGGAAACGCTGACAGAGATGCTCTGTTCATCCTGATGCGCCTTCATACGCAATAGTGACCGCAGCCGCAGTGATGTGAGTTTGTTTTAGGCACCGCGGCGCGCGTTTTTAGGCATCGTAATCATTTGGTAATGTTAGGTGCATATTATATTCTTTTGAGTGTGCAGTGCAAATTGATGCTAACTGGGAAGGCGTACGTGTGTAGGTATGTATCTAGACACTCCTAGGCCAGCTAAGGCATCTGTGGGATATGATGCTCAACCACAATAAGGAAGCTAGATGTTAGTGCTTCCTTCCGAGCGGGTGTTATGCTCGGGGACCAAGGTCCAATTTACACCATCTTGGTTTGTCTATATATACTTGGCAGGATCTAAAACTCCGTCACCGCGATGCAGGTTTGTATGAGCGGCGGAGTGTGCCATAGTGAAGTAGTGACAGCGCCATCTGTTGGTCACTAGTTTGTAGTGGCGTCGCCACACCACTCCCCCCGGAAGAACCGGAGGTGGATGACGTCAGGATGAGTTCAGCAGTNTAATTTGTATTGCAGTGTAATATACAAAATAGCCGAACTATCAGAGTATTGAAAAGCTGGCTCGCTTTTGAGGTGCAAACAAATTAACAGCCGGATGCGAGCCCGCGACCCGCTAAAAGCTTCCGGCCGCCGGACAACCACCGGACATTCGGAAGTCACACAACAACTATAGGTATGGTTATGTTCAGGAATGGCTGTTTGTTACTACGAGTATAATTTATGTAATACTCGTACAAGTGGCAAAATCAGTGAAAATAGACTTGGAAGTAGGTATGTTTTCAGAACGTACAATATTATCAAAAATGGAAAGTTACTGGAAAATAAATATAGAAAACAGGGATTTATTCCACTATAGACTTCTAGGGTGAGTGATGGTGACTAAATATTACAATGTCGAGAGCTCAAACTTTAGTTTTCAGTTTCAGTATTTTTTGGACTATCTTTAAACTGAACTAATGAAATGCTCGTGAACTCATCGGCTAGATTTAGCTGACCTCGACGTAAACAATTAGTAGTGTGTCCATTAATTAAAGCCGAAATAAAAGTCGGACACAATGAACCGGGACGCGGCTTGATTGACCACCCCGCGGGGCGCTGTTACTTCCTGATTGACATTATGACGCAACTTGCGTATAGTCATATTTTTGCACTTTTATACTTCAAGCGAGAAAAACTTAGCCAGTAATACGCTACTTTACTAAGTTTTAAAACGTAAAATTTAAAAGTTTGGGTCTGGCATGAGATCGTTAAAAGCTTAATTAAGTTTTAGATTTAACCCAGAGTTGTAGATCTTCAACAAGCACAATACATTAGGTAAGTAATTGTTTAAACACATAATAACTATAAATAAACAATGTAAGTAATACTAAGGCTAGGTACTTACATATTCTGTACCAGGGTGTGGTGTAGTCGCGATAAAACTCCACCAGGCGTCGCCTCCACCGCACCACTGCGCTGGCGCAGAGACCCGAAAAACTTGTGACACTCTCGTCGTCTTCGAGATCTAACACGGGGAAAATAAAATTTAAATTATACACTCGTTTAAACAGGTTGTTACACCGCCATGCGTGCTAAACTATTAAAACATAACTACCCTCACATGAGAAAGACGTCAAAACGTCACAATCATGAATTTTATTTTTTAGCCTAGGCGCAGACAATCGATTTTTCGTCGGCCGATAGTTTAGTCGGGCAGTTGATCAGTATGGGCATGTATGAAAGTGCGCACATTACTCCGATTCGATTTGGCCGGATTCTTCATACAATTTAAAATCGTGCACAACTAAGTATCGGCCAACTAAAAATCGGCGGTGTGCGCCTAGTCTTAACGATGGACCTTTGAAATGTGAAATCTTCAACCTTCAAGTTGTCATTTCAGGCCCTACCTATCTTTTGTAAAAAGTAGAAAGGATATTCTGTCATGAAGGTATTTGATTTTATCTGTAGGTAGGTGTGAAGAGATAATCCTTATCTGACGATTCCAAGTTCCTTACTGCGTCAATAAATAAAATCGATGCATACTTACTTACCTGTAACCGCACGATAAGATTAGCTAGTGTAACGGTGACTCTGTGGTTTAATAATTGAAAAATAATACTAATAATATTGTGAGATACCTTCCTAATATTTTCCAATTTTCAACCTCATTTGGTCAATCGCTTAATTTTTGCTTCCTACTTAGTCTGAGCAAGTTTGTAGGTATGTAGGTTTGGTACTTGAGGTAATATTATAAACTAGGTACTGATTTAAGCTTTGTTTCACATACCTACAATCTAAGCCTACACTAATATTCTATCATCTAACTAAGTAAGGCATTTAATTGACAATAACAACAAAACAACTAACAATATACTCGCCCTAATCGACATCGAACTGATAACAGCAATTATCGTGTCTGTAGGCGATTAAAAGCGCATTTGACTGGGTAACAACTCCTATTACTATTATTAATTCAATAAAGTACTCACCATTTGTCTGGAGAAACTCGTATCCAGACCTTGAGCGCCATGACCACATTTTATAGGTTATTTATTTTTTTTAAAGCCGAACTTCCCGCCGTGTTGGTAAACAAACTGCCCAGGTTAGTGTTACCAGACGTAAAATTTGTAATTCCCACATTTAAAATTATTTAGGGGGAAATTGATAAATTACCTGGTAACATTTCCCTTTCATTTTTTTCAATTGCTTTGCACAGTGGATCAAAACAATAAAATTGGAGAAGGGATGGTTTGACTGGCAAAGCATTTTGAAAACTGTTGGTTACCATCCATTACCATGACCATTATTAATTATGATATGATTTGAGGGAATTAAAAAAAGCAAGCCAAATAGATCAGTCGCCCTAAATCAAAATAACAATGTAGGTAGGTACAGATATCATAATATTATATTGTCTAAAAAATTAGATTTACTATTATGTAAGTACTGCAGTATTGCTGTTAGATGTAAAATAATTATGTAGATACTTTTCAAATTATATTCATAATAAAAAAGATGACGACGACCTGATAAAGGTAACAGGAAAGCGCTGGATGCAGGCCGTTGGTAGCGGCCTGCATATTGTGTGCTGTGGAAGCCATTGGGGGAGGCCTACGTCCTATGGCTGAAATGATGATGAAAAAAGGGTTGGAGTATAGGAAAAAAAATGTACGCACCGTACGTTTTAAAAGTAATTCTAATTTTGTTCGATTGCTTTTTATGTTGTTTATAAGGAAAGAAGACATGAAAAATTATGCTATTAGGAAAAAGTGCAACAAAACACATTGTTATTTAGCGTAAGCCATCCAGCTTATTTAATTCAACAAACACCTGATAGTTAATACAATGTACTTATTAATGTGTAACATAAATTAAAATTAACTAAAACCATTCAATACTGAACTACAAAAAGGAATTTACCATAAATACAGACATGCTTTAATACCACTATCAACCATTGAAAATAACATTTATTTATTTTATGATCTAATTAAATGCGCCTCTTCAAGTTTTACAAATAATAAGTATGTAGCGAATACTCGTAGTCTACCATGCCATGCCAACTCACTGGGAATCTGCGATTGTAAAAAACATACCTAGTAAATAGATGCCTACTCTTATTGTTATGTCCCATGTTTTAATTACTTACTGGGTGCTTCAGAGATTAATAATCTTAGTGATGAATATGGATTCTGTATTTAATTATCGCTCTTTTATTCGAGTTTGATCGAGGTTCATTGAGGACAGCAGATTTTCGAGAATCGTAAAAAAAATCTGCTGACACTCAGTAGGTGTCGGTGTAATTCTTACTATTTTGTTCTTCGTGCTTTTTTATGTTAATTAAATAGTTTTATCTATTACATACACACGTGTATCAAACTAATTAATTACATAAATTATCCCGTAAATGGTTTTGCTGATAAACTAATGTACCTGCTAACTCAATGCACTAGTTTTTGTTCATATGGTTATCCTCAAAATAACAATGTTTTTCTTCTACAGCTAGCGCGGCTTAAACTAAATTCGAGAGCAAAGGATCTACTTATTCTGTCATTTTTGTCAAAAAAAAAACCTAGTATCCTGTAGGTACCCTACTATGACGTCAAACTAGCAATATGTTACTAGACAGAAATAACATATCCTCAACTTCGATTCTCGTTTCAGCTACACTGAGATATTGAAAACTACAATAATCTAACGATGTTAAATGAATAATTAAAATCACAAATTGTTGTTTAGCACATTGTCATACGCGTACGTGTGTTTGTTAGAGTTTGGCGCCAAGGGAGAGGTGTCCTCAGTGTCGGACGGCTCGCTGTCACTGCTCGCTGGAAACACAACGGCCACATTACACGACACAAATCAAATCACATAAGTACGAAACAAACTAAACTAATACAACGAAAGTTAATCGAGCTTTGAAAAGGTTAGTATAGCAGCATGCAGATATAAAATTTACATGTTTTATTAGTGTCATAAAAATAATACAACCTGAGAAATACAAATATCGACTAAGTAAACGCAAAACTTTTAACTTTCTAAAATATTCCTTCATAGCCACACACCAAGCATCGTAATAACATAAAATATGAACACGAATATAAAGCACGCCAATGTTATGGTAACACTAACCTTAGCATCCTTACGCTGTATGTAGCATTATTACTGGGAAACTAGTTTACACATCTAGCCTGCTGCTGGCGTGACATGAGGACGCATGAAACCCGCACCTTTATTACCCTGAACTTTATAAACAAATGAGTACAAAATTACAAATACTTGAGCGAAATAGTCGTCGAAAACCCAATAATAAGCAAAATAATGCTAGAATAATAAACATAAATGATTTAATTACTGGCACATGAAACAATTTTTGTGTTCCCCAGAAAACTATACAAATATTTTTCAAACATCTCATTCTGTTTTTGTTGAATGAAACAAGTATTTGAAAATGCTTATTTATTTCACATAAAAAACACATGTCACAGTATATGATACAGCCAGCTTGCGTTCTGTCCTATGTATAACACATTGTATGTACAAACTTAACTCTACGCGGCACCTACTCTACGCACGCAGACTCTACCGTTGAGCGGACTTATAACATGTGGTACAAAAATATAGTGGTGGCAAACAAAACTACTCTTTTTAGACTAGACTTACGGTTTCAAATTTTAAAGTTACAGACAAAAATATGGGACATTGAATATATTGAGGGGATAAACTAACAAAATATCTTCCAACAATCACACCAAATAGCTTGAAGAAGCGATAAACATTACATAGACACATAACAAAAACATATAACTCGGGAACAAATACTGAAACATTTGCCCCTTGCAGGATTCAAACCCACGATCGCTGGCTGTGTAGTGTTAAACGTGATATAGTGCTAATACTCGACTGCAGCTAAGTGTGAAGTCCTACTTCATGTCAAGCCTTCACAACTTGATAAATTTCATATTCAAATTACAAGCAGTCGAGTATTATTAGTAATCAAGTATACACTTGCTGGTATGCTTAATATTACCACATGAATGTGTATGAAGATTACACCTCACACCCCTCAATATTATCAAGAAGCACTTTTCTTAGCTAACAAAATCATATACATTGGATAAATACACATATTTACGTTATATAGCATAGAGAAGAATGCAGAGGTTGAAGTATTAGTCACGAACGAGCCAACACCGCTTATGTTAATAATATAAATATATTAAAATATACGTCATTTCCAATACTTTAAGATTAATCCATTTTAAAGGTTGGTAATATCTACGAGCAAACATTATGTGGAGTTTGATTTTGTTTAATCCATATTCCGTGGAGTCCATCAGGGTTTGTAACATGATATGAAGTATGAAAGATGGTAGCAATAATACCAATAATGGATAAAACAAATCAAAAAGTAAACCACATACATTTCTCAATTACCACCTTACATTAATGAACTCGATATCGAAATGTCCACCTCATGAATTAAAAGTCAGTTGATCTCATTAGTTCTAACCGTCACGTCTTTGGGGCGACAAACGCTTACCCAGAGCAGACGTGTCTTACAACACAATATCACACGTGTGACGTACGTGACACGTCATGTAGCAATGTATCTTTTCTGAATGGTTATCTTTAACATTTTGATTGAACAGCAGCCCTTTTCTCATACAGAGCAAAAAATCTTTGACTTTAAATTTTAGAGTAGTGAAAGTCTCGACATCTGTGTCAGTGCGCACCTTATTCGCTAATGAATGTAATTCAATAAATTACTTATAACTTTTTAAGCTATTTCTTCGCGACATGCACTAGAAACATTTCAGTTAAAATAACGAATACACATAAATACTAGTCTAACAAAGTGAAAAATTTCTAGCTCATAGCTAATCGAACCACTACAAATTTACTAACAATTTTCGGTACATCCCGGCTAATTATCGTCTTTTGACGTCTCACATTTTTATTTTGTCGTACGCCTACCACCCTAGTGCTGTCCAATAGTCGATAAATCTAGCACTAAATTACGATGATTTTGTGCTGTAACACGAAAACTTGTGCAATATTAGGCTCTTATTCTAGCTCAAGTTATATTTAATTGATTAGATGTTATCAAAGGCTTGCTCATTTTGTCGGCCGATTTATTCTTGGCAATTTTATGGTCGGTTAGGTACTTTACAAGCAACATCGTCTGTTTACAAAATATCTCAATTTTCAATGCAATTTTTTTTTAATTAGTAACAAAGCACGAACTATATTTCATGAAGAAATCCATCGCAAGAGTTTGTGAATAGACGACACCGCTCTAAAATAAGAGACAAGACATTTGAGCAATCACTGCAAAATCAATCGATTATTATTTATCGACTGACAACACTAGCGCCACTCGCGACTTACTGATCGTAGTCTTCTATGAATATTCGGAAACTACCCGCGGATTCACAATCTACAGGAAAAACGAATATACATAAAACTTTGCATTATTTATTCGAGATTGTCGTTTTTAAATTTTTATTTCACTTTTTAAACAAATATTAATCTAAAGTTTATCTAAAATGCTTATTTAATTGTTGTTAGTTGGCATTTGCAGACGTTATTTCATGTGTAAAATTTAACTTTTGTAACAGAGTAACAATTTAATCGTGAGATCATTCATTCATTGTTCGCATGCAGTCATTGTAAGTCAATTAAGAATATAGTAGTAATTATATTACTATTCAAGTTGCAATAATTTGACGAATTAACTTTGAATTCCTACAGCTTTAAGTCACCAATCCTATCTTCCACATCGACTGAGTTCTAAGTACAAACACTTAACTTACAGCTCAGTAGTGTGCGTTAAACAATTACAACGGCAACGATATTGGACCGAGTTATTTCGTCTTCATTTATTGCGAACATTTTGTACAAATAACCACTAATTATAACACTTGGCAAGATGTAATACATTTCGATATATAGAAAGAGATAACTAAAGACGCGAAGGTGCGTAAAAAGCATTGCTTGAGTCATATTCTATACATCGGTGTATTATTTCCTGTCTCACTTAGTTATATTTTCTCACACCTAAAAGGACAAAGGTCAAATCTGTTTTTCACGTCCCTACATATCCTAAAGTATACTTAAATATCATTTAATGTTGTTATAATAAAATAGGCAATAGACTAGGAAGGAAGAAGATATATAGATAGTGCTAGCTTTACGTTTAGCCAAGACTAAAAGGAATGGAACATTATTACTACAAACAAATTCAAATACACGACACAAGGCGACCAACATAGCCCACACTATATCATACAAATATACTAACACATTTAAACCGTACCATAAATTAGTAAAAGGATTTTGAACATAACTGTTTTTAATAAAAATAATGCCTCTTTTAAAAGTAACTTATATTTGCACCATACAACAACTTGGACAAGAGAATAGATTTTCAATACAACGCGCGTTCATAACAACAGTTCAAAGCTATCCACAGACGTAGCCCAGATAGGTGAAAATTTGACAACCAAAACATATTAGTAATAATAAAAGAGTAACGAACATTTCAAACTTAACAGCAACAACGCATTCGGGTATGTTCCATTCTTTTTACTCCGCACGTACGGGCCAACCATAACGTACACATAGCCTCGCCACGCCCACCGACTTTACCAGTTGTGTCAAATAAACCGCTAACTCCCTTAAAGTAGTTACACGTATCACTTTACTAGTCCAAATATATGGCATTTATGGATGACCCAAAATGAGAATGATCTTGTCACATTTTAATGAGCTTACTCTAATACAGATCGCAATTTGTTCTCTTTTATGTTTAGACGCGTGTTTTTCATTAATATCATTTGAAAAGTGACATAATCGAATCTTTCAAATCACTGGTCGCAATGTTTTAAAGACATCTTGAAGAAGGCATATCAGAAGAGCAATATGATAGAGTATACGGTCACATCGGTATACCCCATTGGTGATGCAAAATTCCATACAGCCAACAATCTTAATTTGTCTTAACAATGACGTAGTTTTACTATAATATTAACCAATAAATAATGAGGTTTATTAATGGCAAGAAACGTAAGGTTTGACAAATTTAAGTATTGTCAATAATTGGATTTTGAACTATTTTTAATACCCAATGTGGTGCGGTTGTTATTGTCTTTAGTGTTATAGTTATTTCGCCGTTACGTTAAGATAGTCCCAGCTAGAGAATTCCATAGAGAAAGAGAGAGTAAGGGGTTAGATGCCACAATACTGACAAAATAAATCTGCTCACTATCACGTAAGGTCCACAAGTTTTCGGACTATTGTCAACTCTTTCTGTTACGTATGAACAGTGTCATGATTTTCGAAGTGGTTCGTAAGTCATAATCATAATATTAATCTTCTAACTGTTACAGCTTATAAAAATGCGCTTTTGAGTAAGAATCGAATTTTGAGCGTCCCATACACGGTCCTACATCTAACCACGTTAATCGATGAGTCGATATAGGTCGCGTAACGAGAGTTGAGGCCATCAACACGAGCAAAGATTTTTATCTGCATACGTTATTTGTGCTGTAGTGGGACTGACAAGTGCTTTCCGTCTCGCTTGCAGACATTAACAAGAGCTGAGGTGGCTAGTGTTTTCGATATACAGGGTGTGGTTTTGTGAAACAACGCTCATCTCAGGGGTGGCAGTATACACGACACCGATGCTAAAAAAAATTCATAGAAAAATCCCTGAAATCAATATTATTACGCGGGCGAACTATCGGTCAGTCCCCCCGCTCACCCGGGGCGACGGCCGCTTGTGCTCGGTGGTGTAGCGGGGCACGCGGGGGTGGTGCGGGCGGTA